TTTTGCTCCCAGGTGAAGCTTTATTTGAGTTGGTGAAAATATTAAGATATTAAGAGGGAAGGAATAAGAGGAAAAATAATAGGTGATACCCTGTCCCATAAAAGAAATGGTGAAAGCAAAGACGTCCACCTTGTTTATCATGGGACCGGAGACAAGAAAGTGGTTCAGAGAATATAAAGAAATAAAAGATTGTTATATACTGGTCCTTTCTAACGTTTTAGATCTAGGACCAAAGCTCAAAGAAGGAATGAGTGTAAGTGGAGTTTGGTTATCTGCTTATTTGATGACATCTATACTTTCTTATAGTTGTGTAAGTGTTTAGTTGTCCCACACTGGTTGATGAAATGAGCTGTTATCTCCTTATATTATCTTGTGCAACTCTCACCTCATAAGCTAACTTTTGGGGTTGAGTTAGACCTAAAGTCCATTTTCTTAACATGGTATCAGAGCCACAACCATCCCAATTCTATTTTACCAAAATGTTGGGCCCTCCTATGCTATGTTGTCCACGCGCCAATTAACTAGGCCTCGGCGTGTGGAAGGGTGTGCGTTAAGTTGTCCCACGTTGATTGAGGGAATGAATTGTTGTCTCCTCATATAGTCTTGTGCAACCCTCACCTCATGGGCTAACTTTTGGGCTGAGTTAGACCGAAAGTCTATTTTCTTAACAGTAAGGTTGGAGGAAAATGAACCCTAGATGTGTTGAAGACTCAACAAATTCTGAACATAAGATCAAGATGAATTATACATTTTTGTTTCAGTTTTGGTGTAAAGAAGCTTTAGTACAAGATGTAGAATCTTTAGTTAATTTCATTGGGTCCTTGTAACTGTCACAAGACTAGCTTTTTGGTTTTATTTTTTTGGGAGATTTGTAACTATGCTTGTCTCTCCCAGCACAAAGATTGTGTTGATAACTACTCTTTAACATATATGAAATCTGTTACCTTCTTCTGCTTCTTCAGAAGAAAAAATAAGGGTGAACGGCCTTTCCAGGATTGTTGGAATTAGAGGAATTAGCAATGGGTTTGAGTAGGTACTGTCTAGTGACCTTAAAGTCTTAGGTATAAGAAACCCTCAGTAGTTAGGATTGTAAGTATAGTCAAGATGATTAAATAGAACAGGGAGACAGATGAACAATGAAAAAGTATGACGCACACAGTATCATTGCGTGAAAAAGGGGTTGTTCCATGCTGGTAGCAAAAATCTGTTAAGGGATGCACAAAATAGTGAAGTGTCTTTCAGGCTCTTGCTATGCTTATCATTTGCTTAATCAAAGGATCACTACTTTTTGCTTTCTGGTCTTCTATCAAAAAAAAAAAATTTGCTTTTTGGTCAAAGCAACTTGCACTTCCCTCCAGCCATATGGACTATATATAGTAATTATTTGTCTCTTCGTGGATGTAAGCATACTTTTGCTGAACTGTATTATATACTTGTGTCTCTTTTTTTCAGTAATCTTTTATGTTCGTTAGTTTTTATCACTTTGTTGTTCTTATGCCAAATAGGATTAACTATTTTAGCAAAGCACTTCTGCGGCAGTCTAAAGCCTAGTTGTAATCCAGTTTGTACATAGCATCACTTAATAAGTTCTATATTGTCATACCATTTGATGGACATGGGTGAGTAGAACCAGGGAAGTGTTTTATTGGGAGGAGCAAACACAAGTTATGGAATAAAAGAGAAATAAGTCATTGACATTTATATGGAAAATAGGTTTTCAAATGTTAAAATATATATTATATGCGTTGGTTTTTGATAAAAGAGCATAAGAATGGTCACAATATAATTTGATGGAAAGAACATTGGTGTATCAAGGGAACTCTTTCTTAGCAAGCTTGACAGTTATGCTTCAAGATGCTTCCTCCATACGTCAAGCATATGAGGTTAGTTTCAAGAGCTTCCTCCATGCGCCAATAGTCAGACGTGGATCTATAATTTAAAGCTTATGGGTTCAGGTCTCGGGGTTATAGGATAGTGACTTCAAATTTCTTGACATATAGGAGAACCTTTTACTTTACCATTACATAATAAACAATTATGTATGTTTTAAAAAAGTATAGTAATAAAACATTTTAAACAAATCTCGCAAAATATTTACAATAAATGCATATAAGCATTAGAGAGAAACTGACTACTTGTTTTACATTCATTTGAGAGGGCGAAATTAACTAAATTGTAGTGCTATTATAGAAACCATAGCACTAAGTATTGTGAAGAAGAGGAAGAAGAGCATTGTCGTTTGAAGAAGCATGGATGGTAGCATAGTGACAGCTGAAGTGGATGAGAAAGACGAGGTATTGGGCACGAGGCTAACCTACTAGTTTTATTTTTGGTAGCTATTGGTAACCAGCTGACAAATGTTTAAGATAAGAGGTCAACTTTGGACCTGTCCCATTTGTGTAATGGTCAATTGATCAACTTATGAGTAAATAATAAGTGCACCCATTATTTTCTGGCATTTTGACTGCATGCATATTTTCATCTTACATCTTTTTCTTCTTTTCTTATAGCTTTTTCACCAAGGCTTCCGAGATTGACTTCTGGGATAATTTCCTCAAGCAATAGATTTAGGTTTAAGTAGAAACAATTTTGTCCTTGGGGTACTCTAGGCTGTTGAAGTGTTAATATATGTTAGGTTAGCCAGACATATCTAGCGGTACAGTTGGGGGATTAACACCTCTGGAATTAAATAGTATGGATAACATCCTACTCGAACAAATAAGTAAATGCATCCAATTATTGTTTTTCATGTACACTGCTCTAGAATTAATGGCACATTATTTGATATTATGGGTTATGGTTACTATTAGTGAATGGAATTTGGAGATGTTTTGGTGAAGGGGACAGAAGCAACATGTACCACGCTAGCTAGAAAAGTGCACCTTACATATTCTTTCTATTCTCAATAGGAAAACTTGTATCTCCACTAGGAAATATTGTCTAACAGCAAGGACAAAATATATAAATGAAAACACTGCCACAGAGATTAGAACATGTATTTCCTCAATGGACAACCCATGCTCCCAAGCCCGTTGCCATTCCCCATCCTCGATTAATGGTTTCAATTTGATTTTTGTAGCCATTTAAACTGTTTTTTCATATCTATATATAGGATCTGACCTAAACTTTATGGGTTCGGTTGATCCCAGCCCTGGTACGTTAGATTCCCCTATGCCAATAGTAATCTTGCTCCATATAACAAGTGGAAATCAAGATGTTCTCTTAGGGTTGTGGCATAGAGCAAACTGCTTTCTGAAAAAGCATAAATTTTTTAATAAATATCCTACTTATCTGACCTAGCAGCAAACATATCTACAGAATAAGACAGATAAAAATTATAATAGAAGAAACGGGAAGTGTATGCTGGAGCTTCTTCTTTTAGTTTCATCCATTTTGTGCCCTATGAGAAAAAAAAAATCAATTGCAATATCGGTCCTGAGCCTAGGGTCTTCCGGAAACAGTCTCTCTGCCTTTTTAGAGGCAGGGGTAAGGTCTGCGTACACTCTACCCTCCCCACTTGTGGGACTACACTGGGTATGTTGTTGTTGTTGTAAAATCGGTTCTGGAAGGTGATGATTATTTTAGAATTCTTATATGGTTTACCATAACATTTCCTTCTTCCAAACTTTAATGTGCTTTTCTTATGATTACTTGTTCATTTAGCAGAATAGGCAGCAAACTTAGAAATGTTTTTGTCCTTATGAATGGGTTTCTGCTTACTTTGTTTAATTCGTCTAAAGAAAGGTACAAAACTTCGAATTGCTGATTTTGTTCATGGCACGGATGGACTTGGGAACCAAAACTTTCCTGCACCAAATGGAAAGCCTATCGACCAGAATGCTGCTGAATTTCTCATTCAACAAGCAAGTCTATACCCTGGGAAGGTTACTGTTGTAGCCTTGGGCCCCCTTACAAATATAGCACTAGTAAGTATATAATCTTCCAACTGAATATTAGATAATAACCTAATAGAAACACTGTTCACCAGTTTGGCATATTGAAACAGGCCATTCAATCAGATCCTGCATTTGTTAAAAACATTAGACAAATTGTTGTTCTTGGTGGTTCCTTTGCTGTAAATGGAAATGTAAATCCAGCTGCAGAAGCGAACGTAAGTTGTTAACAGATACATCCAAAATCATGCTTTAGTTTTCAGGTGTATTCTCTAAGTTATTTTTCCATTTGTTGCTCATCTGCACAAGATCTTTGGAGATCCAGATGCTGCTGATATTGTTTTTACTAGCGGCGCTGACGTTCTGGCAGTTGGAATTAATGTTACACATCAAGTTGTCCTTACTGGTATTTTCTTGATTGCTATGGTACTTTCAACTAATATTTTCCTCTTACAGTACCATATTCTGTTCCTTTTACATTTCCTAGATTCAAACTGTTGTGTCAACAGTGTTGATCTTTTTGACAATTCCAACTGACTTTAAAGCATGGGTTACGTATTCTGGACCATCCTCATGTCAGTTCCTAAATATTGTGCAAACCAAACTAGAGGTTTTCATTTTTCAAATAATGTACCAAACTAGAGGTTTTCTTCGCCGAAGCATAGGGGAAGGTGGACATCAGTTTATGCCCAATGGATTTGATGGGTAAAAGAGCTTGCTATACAGAACATGCAGCTTTATTTCATCAAAGATCCAAGGATATGCACTTGCATATTATTTAGCTAATGTTAAAGGATATTCCAAGAGACTTGCCGGGGTAAAAGTTCTTCTAAAGTTTCTCTACTCGTTCTTTAATGCATAATCCTCCTATGTTACTTTCTCCTATCACCAAACATTTGAAATAGCTATCATTTTCTATTTGCTGAATGCTGACATTTAATGATGTTACAATAAGACATGGAAAGGAATTTATTTGAAGCTCGTTCTCAAGTGTCTATTTTCCTCCATCCGTGTTACTATCTCCCAGTAACCAAATATCTTGAATAGTTATATTCAGAAAAATTAAGAAATTTGGTTTCTAGAGTTCCATGGATAACCCAAATTTAGCTGGACATTGAAACCTATGCTTTTATCTTTTATTCTTGGCTTAGCAGATTTTACTGGCGGCTCAGTGTTCAATTTATAATGGCTTATCTTTTATCTTTTAGCTTTTATTCTTTGCTTAGCAGAAGCTCAAATGATTTATAATGGCTTCTTCATTCTTAGGGACAAGAAATCAATTTGTTATTTAGGCCAATAACCCTCAGGAAAATAATACAGTTTCTCACTTAATGGTGAAATTATTCCTTGGTGACTTGGTGAATATATAACTAGCTTTTTCCACTTAAAGTAACCAAACTTAGAGGAAATGTTTTATTCTACTAGATCTATATTTCTTTTGATTTTCTTCTTTTTCTTCCTTTCTTTAACAAAGATGCTCAAGTTGAGCTCCTCCAGACCGTTTTTTTAAGCTTCCCACTAAGCGGTGTGGGTGCAGTGTGGGTTTTGTCTTCACCCACAAAATTTCAACCTGCCCCCGCCCTACATAGCATTTTCACCCGCGTTCATCCGCCCCGCCCTGCTCCCTCTAAGTGTTCTTTTCTTTCATTTTGTTTAGTTTTATTTCTTTTTTATCTTTTGGCTGGAATTTTTCATACATTTTGCTACATACTCTCATAGTTTTTATTAATTTTAAAAATTACGGGAGGCTTCAGCTAAGGAAAGAAGAAGATAAGATACTTTGATTAATCAAACAGATTTATAATTAATTGAAAATTATGTGTTAGATATTAAATTTTCAGAACTTGTCATAAGAGAATGAGAATCTGACGTGCAAGCAGTTGTTTCAAACATACTCCACGTAAGATAGCCAAAGTACGGTTGAGCAATCGACATGATATATTTGCTCACATTCCAGGTGAAGGTCATAATTTGCAGGAACATTCTATGGTAGCCCAACTCAGTCCTCTTGTATTAGGGTTGGCTCCTCGCAGTTCCTCCGATTTGATCGAATTTCAAAAAGTCTTTCTCACTATTCAGAATAGTGGAGCTTTCGATCAAGATCTTCTTACCTCACCCTTTGGGCTCTTGCTGGAATCGGAATCTTATGGAACTCTTATTTTGCTTCATTATATTACGTGGAATCAATATCATCTCCAGAAAGGCAGAACAATGATTTTCCTTTTTCGCTGAAATTTTGAAACACGCACCCACACATAATTAATTTTTTTTAGTTCGACCCGCACCACCCCACACCTGCATATGTTTAAACCCACCCTGCATATGTCTAAACCCGCCCCACCGTCACTGCGCCATTGCCATCCCTACTTCCCGCACATTATCCTTTTTATTTTTATATATTTACTTTTGTCAGATTCTGATCGCAATGAGTTGGCGAAGTCTAACGGAAAGTTTGCCAAGTACCTTGACAAGATTTTGGATGTCTATTTTGGCTATCACCATGATGCATACAGCACAAAAGGTCAGTCTCTTGCCAAACTAGCTTTCTTAGTACACTGATTGGTGCATGCTCATTGTTCTGATTTTACGGTAACTGGGACTCCACATAGGTGTTTATCTTCACGATCCGACTGCCCTGCTTGCTGCTGTTGATCCCTCACTAATCACCTATACAGAAGGTGCGGTTCGTGTCCAGACAAGTGGCATCACAAGAGGTCTCACTCTATTTTATAACAAACAAAAGAGGTAAACTGTTGAAATTGTTTCAGAAGATGGAATGTATCTCCTCCTCACTTTTTTTTTCCAGTACCGGCTTCTCTTCCGTGCACCACGTGATGTTGCCCAACAAAGGGTGGTTGGGTACAGTTCCTATTCGCTAGATTGCTACCACCATCATTATTATATGGTTCTATCTTTGGCTAACAATTCCAGCTGGACCAATCCACTTGCCACCTTCAAATAACACTATAGGATAGTACTTTGAGGTTTCAACTTCTTTCAGTGAAGAGACAACGGGAAAGGAAAACCTCCTCAACCCTCGCCATGTTGGTTCTCCAAAATTTGCTCCTCAGGCCTGCCGTAGTTCCATGAATCCACTCTAGGAAATATTCAGGGGCAGATCCAAGATATAGAGTTGGATGAGTTTGGAGTTTTAACTGGCCTGAGGAGCCAATTCTATCAGATTTCACATATATATACAAGGTTGGAGCCGAACGAACCCACTGCTTTAACACTAGGTCCGCCTCTAGAGATATTGACTCAATGTCTGAATGACCATCCTCTCAAGAAAGACGCATGACGACCCCCTTGAATAGATTCCCATCCTCTGGATTGTCAATCAGGCTGGAGCAGCAAAAACTAAAACAGAATACACTATTTGCAGGAAAGTGTCATCGAGACGAATGATTAGACAAGAAGTAAAATCTGAATAAGTTGTATTCTTAGTGCTTTTTGCCAAGGAGGCGGCGGAGCGAGAGTGAATAATCTTCTTTTGTTTTCTTTTTTGTGGCCCCCCTTGCTAGATCTTTCTGCCTTCCATTTTCTTTAACCGCCCCACTGCCCCCGTGTGGTCCGACCCGTTCACTAAAGGAAAAATGTAATCCTACTTTCACTACATCACGTTATTCTTTTATTTTTTACTCAATTGCGATGATCTATCCTGGTAGCGATGGGGATAACATGGCAAGATCCTCCCTTAATGTTAATGTTAAGTAAGACACCAATATTAAATTGTTATCACATGAGAGAAAACTGAAGTAGAAAATCTTATTGAGCAACTATTATTTTTATTTATTTTTACTTTAAAAAAGAGGGAATATCTATGTCACTTTTAGGTATCATTTCGGAAAAGGAAGAATGTGAACCGTCCTTTGTGTCAAATGACTAACTCTTTATGGTTTTGGATAGTTTTCTTCTTTGGGATCTCATGGACTATACCCATATATCTAGGGAATTTTTGCTTAGTTGACTGTTTTTATTCTAGGAGGAAATTGGGTATAGGTTGAAATGATTTCTGTACATCTATTGGCCTCTTTTGACGTATATGGTTGGATAATAACAAGAGCTTGTGGAGGAGAGAAAAAGTTGTTATCAAGCCCAAAATTTCTTTCCATTCTTACTTTTGCTGGCCTTTTCAGTTAGGCTTCTGGGTTCAAGAACTTCAATCTGTTTTTATTCGAATGACTAAAATACTCCATGCACAATTCTTTTGCTCTTCCTTTGATGCTTTAGGAAATTTATCATATCTCTGTACTTATTAAGTTTGGAATTGAGGGATATATGATTGCTGTGTACTTATTATATTTTCTGTTGGACACAAGGTTTGCTGAAGTCACTGAATGGTGCGATAAACCCTCAGTAAAAGTGGCAGTAACTGTTGATGCTACTAAGGTTCTCAAATTGGTCATGGAACGACTCATCAATTCTTAGGAGAATCTGTTAGTTTTCAACATATCTCCTTCAGCTGCACAGTTCCTTGTATGTTTGCAACTCTATGTGCTTGAAACATTGACATTTTTTCAGAATTTCATTTTGATGTGAAGAGGAAGGTGATAGCAAAGATTATGGGATACGTGGATCACCAAGAAGAATTTCTTAATGTTTATTGCTTCTATGCCAATCTCCACGATTGTTGTAACAAACTTAATTATCTGCTTCTAAGCCCTTTGTGTAAAGTGATCTGTAGAACCCAACATTGTCATCATTGTGGTTTTCTCTTTTAAATAAAATGCACGGAATAATTTATTTAAGAATCTTATGAAATTATGATATGATATATCGTTTTATTTTAATAAATTTTAGTTGCTATTTTATTTTTTAACACAGTGCGCAGAAATATAACAAAATTTATATAATTAAAGGATACACATCATATGGTAATTAAATAAATTATTTATTTTTTATTTTATTTTTTATTAAATTAGCAAGTACTTAGTGCTAAATATTGACTAATGTGACTTTTTATTAACTTGTAAATTGGCTTAATATTTT